GTTTCGAGCACTGGAACTAGTATGACTACCTCAACAGTTTACTCAACAAATATTTATACCATAACGTCTTGTGCGCCTGGCGTTGCGAACTGTCCTGCTCAGTTAGGACAGGTCACGACAGATCTCATCTCGCTGTATACGACTGTATGTCCGGTTACTGAGTCGCAGACCACGATCGACGGAAGTTCTTCGGCGCTTCCTGTTGCTACACAGACTTCCACGCCGGGACAGACAATTTCCTCGTACGCTACAATGAGAAACTCCACGTCGGCTGGGACTATTCTTAGCTCAAGTGTATCTGCCTCAGTACAGTCAAGCGCTACTCAAGACGTCCCGTCTTATTCAATGTCTACCGAGTCTGGACTTCTAGTCGAGTCTAGTACTAGTCAAGCTGCGTCATCCTACGTAACGTCTGCGCTATCTGAGACAGAGCCTACATCATACACAACGTCGACCATATACTCGACGAATATTTACACTGTCACGTCTTGCGCCCCGGGCGTGACCAACTGTCCCGCCAATGGCGCAGTGACAACGGAAGTTGTTGCTGTGTCTACAACGGTTTGTCCCGTGGCGGACAATTCAAATGGCACGCCGGGAACTACCGCCTCTGCCGTGGAATCTCAATACACAACCACTGCCATTACGTTCAGTGACACCGTGAGTGGCTCGGTTATTGTAGTAACAACAACTATCAGCTTTGTCGATACACCTGCGCCAACCCCGTATTACCCAACTCAAGCGATTGGCACGTCTAACACCGCAGGGACTGATGCCATCGCGTCGAGTCCGCCTGGCGCATATCCCAGCATAGCCAAACCGGGGACAACTGTGACTCTTGGTAACTACTTCACGACTGTTATCGAATACGACACGATCACCCCCGAAATCCCCGCCTCCGTGTCGTCAGGGGCTACTCCTACTAGCTACTACTCGGCATCTCAAGCGTCTTCCGACGTTTCGAGCTACTCCGTAGCATCGTCGCAGACCGTCCCTAAGAATGTACCTGGTGAGTCCTCGCATGTCGGCAATGATCTAACAACGGTAACCTCCCCCACTACGAATACTCGTACCGTGTTACAGACACAATCTCCCGAGCGGCCAGGCACGTGCGCGTGTGAACCCTCGACCGTGACTGTTACTCAAACAGTTGCACGAATCACTGTAACAAGCACAGCCGAACCGTTTATCGCCAGCACGTATTCTATGGGTACTGCTCCTCTCGGCACAGGTGGGACAACCGCGAACGCTTACCCGACGAGCGCGCCGACTGCGATACGAAGGTGGTTTAGGCGAGGCCATGGAAATGGGGGCGGGCATGGACATTAACGAGGTGCTAGGTTAGACGAATGAAGCCGATTTACATTGCGTTGGATAGTTATTAGTTATATATTTCATGGTGTTAACTTAGGTGGCAGGTTCCACGGATAAAAGTTCTTGTATGTTATTAATTCCTAACTTCTGTTCGTACGAGAAATCTAAAAACGCTCGATTGTCACTTCGTAGATGTGGTTTATATGCTGTATTATGCTGTGAGGAATAAAAATGTCTATGCCCAAACGAGGAGGATTAGAATATCAGTCTAACGTAACTATATGGTACCTAAGGTAAAGGACCGAGAGACGTAATTGTGGCACGGCGTAAGCGAACGACCTGCGTACATTAGGTACCTCCTTTGAAGAGAGTCGACTTTCTATTTGTTTCACTCGCGCGAAGTTCTGACGTGATACGACTCCGACTACACGCGAGCTCCGGTTGGATTCAGTAACAAGGATGACCAAAAATATCATCTGCACCCAATAAAGACTTCATATTCTACGTGAGAGTGAGAATAAATGGAAATATTGGACTTTGTATGTATTTGTCCTCAACTCTACATCCACTGTTCCGCGCATGTCACCTTGAGGCTTAACCAGGTTGTTAACCCCTATCCCCCCTCCCCCCCCCCATCTGCAACCAATGGGTCGGTAATAATACCTACATTCATATACCCACCCACATCAATACAGCACTTAATCGGCTTGCCCCGAACTTTGACATACCCATCTAAATATATCTATGTATAAATGCCGAAGAAAAAGCCGCTAGGATGATAGGAGAATATGAAAACTGACAGGCGAGACGGAACCCTCGTCAGGTACATGTGTAATCTACGAGTGCAGGTAGTCTGACCGAATACCAGGTGTACAAGCTAGACCGCAAAGGGACTCCATAAGATCTCTGCGCCATGGCTTAAGTTATATAACAAGCGGATCCCAGTCGCAGCGTTGCTGTCATTGTTATATCATATCAGACCCGAGTCTAGACAAGAAATATGACAGTAATTACTCTGGCGTAAACATATATACATACATACATACATACCTAACATACATACCTACATACGCGCAACTCAGTGCCAGCAAATCTCCAGAGTTCCCCCCCTCCTATCCGCATCCTCGGGTTCATAGCCATGTCTGGCGTTCGAAATATCACGGTTCCATGGGTACCGTTGAACGAGTTCGATTGGTCGTTCGCGCGCACCGGCCCGCTGCCCTGGAACCTGACGGTCTGGTATGTAATAATAAGTCAGACCCGAAACCCACGAGACATATATCCACATGGCTGTTTGATAGGGGGCTAACGGATCATAGGTGTCTTCTCGCCGTCTTCACATCCCTCCCGATCTGGATGACCATCGAGCTGACTGCCTGGGTCCTCTATGCTTTTGAGCGGTGGAGCGGGATTTATTTCTGGTCCGTCCTCGCTACGACGTGGGGTTTGACGATCCGTGCCATCGGGTTCCTCCTCAAGTTTTGCGTGCCGCAGGCGAGCTGGATATTGACATATGTGCTGTCCGAAGTCGGTTGGGTGGTGATGGTGACTGGCTTTAGCATCGTCCTGTGGTCCCGGCTACACCTCGTGATTCCGCCGGGCACACCGATCCTGCGTATCGTACTCGCTATGATCGTGATCGACGGGTTCCTATTCCACGTGCCAACCGTCATACTCCAGTACTTTATGTCGAACCCAGTGACGCATGCGAGATATCTCCCCTACATGAATGTGATGGAGCGTATTCAGGTCTTAGCATTCTCGGTGCAGGAGGCTGTCATCTCCTCCGTCTATATCTGGGGAACGATGCAGATGCTCAAGTTATCACTCAACACCAAGGCTAAGAACACACTAGCCTTTCTTATCATCGTCCAGATCGCTGTGGTTCTGGCCGACATACCCGTCATCGTGCTCGACTACTGCAACTACTTCACGCTTAAAGCCGTTATACACTCGTTCATATACGCTTTTAAGCTGCAGATAGAATTTGTCGTCCTAAACGAATTCAAACATCTCGCCAATGGCGGGATCACCGGTGTTAATGGGTCCTTTGGAAGAGGATCCGATGATTTCTCACGATTCCAAGCCGGGCCTCTGGATATACCGAAAGGGAATAGTGCTGGCGTATATAACAACTCGGGCGTGTCGGTGGTTGTGTCGGCTGATGGGCCGCCATCGTCAAGGGTAGTTCGGTCTGATTCATCTGGGACACACGCACATGGCCAGTGTACAGAGCAACCCGATGCTATCGAAGCCCGATACCTAGGGAGGTATGGTGTGGCTATGTGACTTTTATACACTCGATCTATATAGGAGGAAGAGGTAACCCCCTATCAGGAGACCAGTCTTGCTCTTCTTCAATAGAATGCACCTCGGATACCATTCCTTATCCGACTGTTTCTACATAAAGGCCGTGGTATCTGTCTCTCTAGAAATAAACATAGCTGTCAACACCAACTCTTCAATATCGACCCCAAAGAATACTATGTCTAGAATGGGATATTCAATTTCTCGTTTAGCGTTCGCATCCTTATTGCGAGAAGCCGCCTCCTTGCACCTTAACATAACAGCAATCGGGGCAAGGGATGGCTCTTCAACACTCGAATATTGGCAACTGAGCGTGCCGTTCAAAGTATCCTCCGAGTCCGGGACAGTTGGAGGTCTTGTGGCGGCTCTGGGTAATGTCTCAAATATGACATACTCTATCCTCCCGCCCCAATACGACGGCGGCTTACACAATGCACCACATGCACAGCGAGTCCTTCCCTACCTTAAAGCCCGCGTCATATAGTTCAGGTAATTCTAATATAAGGTGCTTGGCTAGGTGGGTTCATCTCGTTACAGGAGCGGCATACATTACGCTCCCCGACGATAACGACACTAGTGCACTCGTAAATGGAGGTCAGCCCGGCCTCTTTTTCGTTGCCAATACAGCGGCTATCAGCCAAAGAGGGCATAGTACCCAGTACCCAAGTATCATTGGAACAACTCTGCTCCAGATTCCGGTAAGCGATGGAAGGGTGCCCGAACATAATGTGCTGCACACAGGTCCGTGTAACTTTAGCGAAGTTGCCGAAGTACGTGAAGTCACACTGGCTCAGAAAAACTAGCACCGTATCAGGCGGGAGGTCGAGGGCTGGACTAACAATGTGTTACCTTTGATTCCTTATTAAATGCCCGCTTCTGCAAACCATTACGGAGATCCTCATATTTACTAATACCATATGCTGGAGTATGTATATGGATGGTATATGATTTTGGTATCTATTAACGATATGTATCACACCGACGGAACTAAAAGTGTATCAGGGACGGGAAGTAATCTTCTAGGGTCATTTACGCTTTACAATAGTGGGAGATTTCGTATCAAGGGGTATTTGGAGGCCATCATGAGTTACGACTTTAGTATTCAAGGCTTAGTCCTGCTTCAATATACAAAGCTGATTTAGGAGACAGAATGCTACCTTAGTATAACAGAGTGTGCCATACTAGATAGGTAAACAACGCGCATTTATGGCGTATGGAGACGTTAAGAGATTCACTACATTAACCAGCTGGCAACAGGTGGCTCATCAATTTTACCAGGATATCTACCCAAGCGATGATTCTAGATTAAAACTACGAGTTAGACTCGGTAAACAGTTGAAAAAGAATTCTGTTTGAAACAAGAAATAAAAACGTAGTAACGAGCTCAACAGGGATCGAGCCTACAATCTTCAGAGCGGAAAATCATAGATGGAACCGAAATCTGACGCCTTACCATTAGGCCATGAACCCCATTCATGTTGCTACAGTTCAATGATTAACGCTATGATGTAATAGTTCCGCTCAAGTACGGTAGGGCCGAGTGAAGCCGCAAGCTGACTCTGCCTTGGGGATGGTCGAGATGGGTATTGGTATATATGCCTTTTGACATAGAAGGTATCCATTACCTAGAAAGCAATAGACAGGTACTCAATATCAAAAACTAGTTTTACATAGCCGCTACACTGTTGAATTTATGACAGCAGTACTGCTGACGGTTTGCGATTCAGGTGTTGTTGTATCGACCAGGCTCGTCCACGTCAACCAATTCACGGCCTCTAACCATGTCTACATCTTGAAAGGTGCATTGCTTAAGGAATGTGAATAATAGCCATATAATTCTGAGCGCTATCGAAGAGAGGATATTTATTATCATCCCACATTGTCAAGTCCAACAATAGGAGGCGACCATATCCCCACCAGCGGACCCAACAGTGCAAACCCTTTCTTACTCTCTCACCAAGCGAACTTCTGTTTGACCATATTTTCGGATACCGTCCATAGTCTTTCAGCCCCTTCGCTTGAGGTGGCATAGGAGTTCGCCAGATCGGAAATCTGGCAATCTACAAGATAAACCCCGTGGTTTTCTTTGTCGCCCTTGGTCTCAGGGAGGCTCAGTTTCGGGTCCAATGCAGCAACAAGGCCTGTTGCTGATCCCGCCCCTAGTGTTTTGAACTTAAGCTGACCCTCTTTCTCCCATCTGCCGATTAGGTCTCTGATGCTCTGTACAGCGTCTCTAGACAGCTCTGTATATATTACTCCCGGGTGTAGGGATATACTCAAGATTCCGTACTTCTCGTACAGCCTCTTGTTTAACGCGATGCTGAACAGTACGTTGGCTACTTTGCTCTGATTGTAGCCCTCGAGCGGGATATATGCTTTGTCCTCGACGTCCATTGTCCCCCACCGTCTGTGCATCTCGTAAGGTGGCTGTTCATCTTCGGGGAGTTCTTTGCTCTTTTTTTCAAAATTGGGATCACTCCATCGCATGCGAGCAGCGACTGGAGAAAGTGAAGAAACGTTGATAATCCGAGTTACCCCTTTCGGGTTGCGCTCTGCCGCCTTGAGGAGTTTCGGCATGACCAAGCAAGTGAACAGAAAGTGTCCGACGTGATTAGTGGCAAACTGTATCTCAATCCCATCTTCGTTGATCGTGCGTTCAGGAATATTCGAGATAGCGGCATTGTTGACAACGATATCGATAGTAGGTATATCAGGCCATGATAGAAGTTCGTCGGCAGCGGCCCTAACAGTTCGCTGTGTAGAAAGATCGAGAATGAGAGAGCGGTAATCTGTATTAGGATATTCAGCCTTGAGCTTTTCTATGCACTCTTGAATCTTTGATGGGGTGCGGCTGGCGAGAATTATGTGGGCTGGAGATTGAGAAGCCTATATAATACGTTAGCATTTCGAGGGACAAGTGAGAAGGATACCTACAAATGCTTGTACGGTTGTAAAACCAATACCGGCGGCATTCACACCCGTCACGAGTACCGTTTTACCACGAATCTCCCCAGCAAAGGCCTTGGCAACATCCAATGCCTCTGTATGATCATTGAACTCGGGATGGGTTATAGCAGTCATTTCGACGTTATATTCGTCTAGGTATCACGTTGATTTCGAGTAAGGCAGTCTTTCGAGGGGTCGATGTGATATCAATTCACGGCGGATATTTAGAATTGCTATTGCTAGTAGCCTCTCGTCTGGAATTCGCTTCTTATTTATATTTTTAATGTTCTACTTAATTTGCCTAAACCGCGCATTCCTGGCGAAGCTGAGGAAATTCGGTGAACTTGCCCGCGGCCCCCATTCACAATGTTTCATCAGAATAGCCTCTAGTGTTGGATGGCCTTAACGGAGTTTATAACTAACACCTCCTAGGCAATACCAATTAGGGATCCAGGCTGCTAAAATGAACATATCTTGCGAATTAAGAAGTCTTGGGTTTAATCGGGTGTATTGTCTTTTCCGGGCTTCTGAGGCCTGTGTTTTACTAACAAATCATATCTCCGAGAGTGCTGTAACTTAGTTCTGGCTTAACCAACTACATGCAACCTAACTACATCTTCGTATTCGATGGAGGACTCGGAATTAGTGGGCATAATATTAGATAATCCCGAACTAGTTACATGAATGTCACTTTTGCTGCATGGGCTGCATGACATGGAGATAAGAATCGGAGACTATGTAGGAGATAACATTCCAACCTTTGTCGTCTTTCATGATGGAATGATCTTTTAAGTCCGTCATGAACTATCATGGTCACTCAAGTACAGACAGAAAAAAGAATAGATATGAAGTCATTGTCAGGTAGATTGACGATTTTCCCATTCGCTATTGCGCTCAGGGGCAGTCTATGCTCACATACTCATACATAAGCTGCTTCAAGCCGGTAAGCAATACTAAATAGAGACATGCTTAAACCCAAAAGTGAAGCTGTTGTCCGGTGATAACGCCAAGGGTATCTGAGCATTCCTTAGGTACCCAAATCAGATAGCCTTTCCAATTTTCCCCCCCTCGAAACGCCAGAATCTAAGTAACCCGTTTTCCCATCTCAATCGGCGATATACTTCGCCCCGTCCGTATTTTTATTTTTTTTGATATCCCCGAAGCCGAGACTTATTTATTAACAGCCGAGACGCAGTGTTGCGACAGCATCGTGTTGATATGCTCCCGCTTCAACCCCGTTCGACCCGTTCGCGCGTGACGTTTCGAAACCACCAGTGCTTATTTGATAACACTTGTGGCGGCATGGATACCGCGGAGCGCGTGTGCACGTCCTTTTCTGCTGCGCTCTGGGTATAGCTGAAACGCCGAGTTCTGCCACCTCAGCGTTGACGGGAGTTATGCCGACATTCGTCTGTGGAGAAAGAGGGGAAACTCGAAGCCGTCCTCGAAGCTCAGCGCATTCCTCCGGTGATGAGAGGGCATATGGTACGCGTCGTAGGCGTTCTCATCCTCGTCTAAGGCTGATTCGCAATCGCTGAGGGCTGGGCTTCCGACCTCAAATGAGAATGTTTGAATGTCTTGCGGTGTCGTGTTTCTTTTGCTCGGCGCTGGAATAGCGATGGGTTTGGTTTGTGTGGTGTAAGTGGTCTTTTGCTCCATGTCTAAGGATTGGCTTTGTGTGTAATAGTTAATACTTGATAGTTGTCTATAATTATTGTCTATAATTATCGAAGATAATTATTGAAGATAGATATTGAAGATATTGGCTTGTTGGTAGATGTGCTAGATAGAAGAAAAAAAAAGGTCTATCCGTGATTAGATTGTTCTGATTATATACCTAAGCTATCTAGATCGATCGATCAAGATCCCTAGTTCATGCCGATAGGTGGTCTGAGAGAGTTGATGGATCAAACTATGGACACCGAGCCATTCTCGTCTCACAAGAAAACTACAGAAAGTTTCAGAGTCATTTCGTGATGCATTCAAATGCCTTCCGAAGTGCATAATAATTGAAAGTGGGTTTAAATGGTATGTTTTCATGAGCCAATGTGTTGACGATCGTACGATCGGGACAAACCGGTGGCCTGCGGAAGCACGACGAGTTCGCAAACAAGACGCGGCACCGCCAATTACATAATTTAACCGGGCGACTAATCATCTGGGGAATCCTAGATTTTGAGAGGCAATTGTCTGGACTCGTCCAACCGGGGACGATTTCCGGCGATCCCCTAAATTATGACCAACCACATGAATGGAAATAAGAGCTTGGCAACTCTATTCAACTAGTTAACCTACCTACCTACCTACCTAACCTAGGTACGTCCGTATAAAGATTCTAATACAGAGGACTTTTAATCTAAATATCTAGGTTAGGTTAACTAATTCCAACTGAATCCTCACATAACAATGACGATGCACCTTCATGTCGATACAGAAGTAATAGATATCATTATCGTGTAAAAGTACCTACCTACTCGAGCAGCCACTTACGTACGTTGTCTCAATTGTGACATAGAGAACTCCTTATCGCTTTTAATGAAAAATGTAAATATTTCATCATATCTATCTCTTGGCATCCCACAGAAAACCTATTGACCATCATATGAGCAAGTAACAACAAGTCCATAATATTCCTAGGTTAGCATATTCCTAGCAAACTCACACTTCAGGAAGTTTATGTCGCGTTGCAGGATGGGTCGGTTCTCTAATCTTGAGTGTGAGTGTGAATGTGAAGATGGTCTGCTATGACAGATCATACATCAGGTGGTTGGGAATATGGCATTTCCGAACTTTTGCTTGCGCTCCACATGCTATTGCAACACCAACGACAGAATGCAATGTGGCTATGGGCGAAATCAATGGACCATATGCATTCTGTTGCGTCGGAGATGGCTCCTATGGCCGCGGTGAAGGCTGCATAGGATATTGTGGTTACTCCGAAGGGTAACACCGCTGCAGACTTTACTTGGTCACTTCTGCTGCATTGATGCGTGTACCTTGCCACTCAAATGTTCTAGGCGTTCCAATCTGCAAGCGTTAGATTACCTAGTTTCCCAGGAGAGAAACCGACCTTCTAAACATGTGTATTAGAATTAATCAGCCATGCAAATATGAATACCGATTAGACAGGACCTAGAACCGCTGCAGAGTAGTATATAAGTACTTGGCGCACTGATAATTGTCCCAGCATAGCAGTCGACTAAGGTAAATAAGGTAGGTTACGGCGCCAAAAGCATGGATTATAATACTATTCAATCGAGTTGCTGACTGGGCACTTATTATACTCGAGTTATACGAACCCGAAGCGCTGCTATATGACTGATGAAATGGCTTTAGACACACGTGGGAATAGATGGGAGGATAGCCTTGTAGAACGTTTGGAAATAATTGAAAGTGAGTTCTGAATGATATGATTAGACCGATCCGTTCTCTACACTACAATGGTTCATAACACAAGGACATGGAATCTATGATGAGGATTGTAATGGTTTCTATATTGCCATTTACCTATGGTACCCAATAAA